CTTTGTTAATGTTGCTACTATCGTTTCATGCAAATCCTCAAGGGAGTTGTCAGTATTTTAAGCGTCACACACCCACACAAAGGAAAACAGTTATACAATAGCAATGGTTGGTAACAACAGAATCAAAGTACCGTCTCAACACATCTGCCCCAGGTTACGTCAACGAGGAAAATGCAGATCGATTTGCCTGGAGTACCAGGAATCTGGTCCGTGCCTTCTTGGGAAAGGAGGTGCCTCAGACTCTGCTGTCCTTCTTCCTTCTTCAGATTAAGTGACTTCCCTCCCTCCTGTAAATAGTTCAGGCGTTCAGCCGGGTGGAGGTTTAAGTATCAACATAGCTTTGGTGTGAGATACGAACAAGAAACCCAGAAAAATCGGAGGGAGTCACGTATTTTATTTGACACGGGCAGCAACTTTCCTCCACTTCTGCTGGCTCTGCGGCAGCTCTCACCCTAAACGTCCCCACAGCCACCATCAGCCCTGAGGCCGCCTGCACTGGGCTTGCCTCCCACCATGGGTTCGTCTGTTTTCCCAGAGAATTTTGCTTTCTTTTTCTTCCCTCCCTCAACCCTTTCAATCCTCTAGTTCAAGCAATTAGCTCTACAAATATTAGCTGCAATCAAGGTCTAGTACAGGCGGCAATTTTCCCCTAATAAATCAATCACTTCTCCCCGCGGAGTGTTTTTTTCCTTTCCGTCATTAGACATTACAATGCTACTTGAGGATCACCAGCAACTTGAATTAGTCAAGAAACGTCAATCAAGTTTGCCCGATTTTGCTTTAAAGATGAGAAAAATGGGGTAGATTCACAAAGGCCTCTTGTCTCAGAATAGGAAGCTTGACAAACCCTTGTTGAATCTCTCTTAGAGAGGCCTTGGAGTATAATGACCCATTTGGAAGAAAATCGAAATCAGTATTACCAGTGACAAAGCAGACAAAACCCAGAAACTCTCGTTATATAATCTAAATATTAATAACTGGAATGATCAGCCATCTCGTTCTCTAGGTCGTGCAATATTCCATAAAGTTAACAGGTTAGTGCAGCAAAGAAAAAAAGAAATAATCTAGCAAATGGACAAATTTTGATTCTATAACTTTCAAAAAGTTTTTTTTACTTAGAAGGGAATTAAAGGATCATCTGGTGCATGCATATCAAACTGTGCATCTCAGAGCCGACTTTAGGGTTGGGAGTGGGGGGGCTCTGAGGGAACAAGGAACAAGAGGGCCCCGGGGGCAGAGCTCCTTGACCCCCCACCTCCAGTATAGAAGCTCCATTTTTATCTCTTATTCCATCCAAGAGTTCAGCTGAGGAAATGATTTTTCTGGTTAAAAATAACTTGAGAATTGCCAATGTAGCAGAGACCACTCTTTTCATAAATGAGCGCAAAGAATGCCAGAGAAATGAAGGAATTCTTAGTTTAGTGGTGAACCTGGAGCCACACCCTGGATCACATCTTTCTACCCAGTTCTCTTTCCACACTCTTCTATGCTGTCTCTCACTTGTAGGGAGAAAATCAGGTAGGAATTGCCAGGCCTTTGAATTCAGGCCCTTTTCCCTTTTCCTTTTGTTTTTGAATGACCGTATGAAGCCAAATTAGTGTGAGAAGAGGCATAAATGTTGGAATTGCAATTGTCCTCCATCTTCCGGATATTTCTAGTCACAGTGAAGAATTCTATCATCGCCCAGCACCTGACAGAGTCATGAGGGTGGAAAGGCCTCGTTCCACTTTCTCTGTCACCAAATGTGTTGCTATTAAGATTGAGAGAAGTAGAGATTTCAGTTGGGTACTTGGTGAAAACTTGCTGACATTAATGACTCAAATTCTCAGAGAGAATGCAAGGAAAATGGTGTCATCACTGTCATTCAAGACATTTAAGATGAAATTTCAAAAGAAGGCTGTCAGGCATAATGCCTGCCAGGTTCTATTATCTCATCCTCAGAGGGTGGATCACACACGCTCCTATGCAGCGTGGGTGGGTGGTGTTGAAGTTGGAATGGAAGCTGCACAGAGAGGAGGTGAGGTGGGCGTTGGACCCAAGGCGGGCTGCTTCACAACCAGAAGACATCGCCGTTGACATTCACATGGTGACGTGGGGTAAATGTATGATCCAGGGCCTCATCTTTAGTCTTGGAGATGCTGAAACCTGATCCCATCAGGACATTTGAACGCGACCATGATCTCGGTGCTGAACAAAACTCTGGAAGTTTGAGCTATCAGTGGCAGTGCCAATTTCTTAACTTATAATGGGAGTATTCCTCTCTGGTGCCTGGATGTTCGTGTCTGCATGCTTTCTGGCATCAAGATACCTGCAAACCCTAGTTCGTAATCAGAAGGCAGCTGTGTGATAAAGGGTACGCTCGAGCCCGGGATCTCAACCTGGGTGGCAGATTGCCATCCCTTGGGGTGCTCTGACACTGAGGCCACACTTTGAACTCAAATAAGCCTGAATCTCAAGTAATAGGATCCAGACGTCAGTATTTTAAAAATCTCTTCAAGTGATTCCAGTGAGCAGCCGAGGCTGAGGACCACTGGGTTAGAGCAAAGAGGCCGCCCATCCGGCTGCCACGAGCCCTGAGTCCTCATCCTTTCCACACAGGGATCCACACTCCTGCCTGATACAGGTCACTGGGTTGGTTGGTTGTTTAAACTGGGAACACATATAGGTTTGACAATTTTTTAATTTGCCAAGTAAGGACATTAAAAATTAACTACCATTATTTCATTAAAGAAAGGAAATCTTAACAACAAAAATTAAGAAGGACATAATTTCAGGATGAAAGATGAACTCCCTATATTGTATTTATTCTTCTCACGTTCCTACAGATCAGGGAAAACTTCCCCATAGAGTGGTGCAAACCAGAGGACGGGTGTGACGTAATTGCCCTCTGCATCCACGGTCACGGCTCTTCCTCCTGGACAGCTTCAGATACATTTGGCTGGATTTTAGCTCATTAAACCACCGTCCTGTACTGACCACCCCTCTTGCCAGATCCTTTCTGTACAGGGATTAATAGTATTGATTATGTTGTAGATAATTTCTGCTCCCAGGGTTGGAAATGTTCTGTCTCTTCCAATTACAGAATATGATGATTTAATGAGCTTAGCTCTTCTCAGACATCTTAAACTGAGGTTTCTTGAATGGGTTTGGTACACGTACCCCCAGATAACCGCTTTGGGGGACGCTGGTGCTCCCTTGTTTTGCTCGTGGATGATAAAGGCAATTACTCTAAATCCAATGGAGAATGCATTGGAGGCAGAGAGCCCGCGTTGAGTTGTTTACTGTGTGTGTCACAGCAGGTGAGATAAAAAGGCTGACTTATACCGTAAACCTAATTTTGAGTACCTCTTTGGAATCTTGTGTATGCCCCGCTTCCTGAGGCCATGGTTTACGGTACCCCTCCCTCCCCTGAAGGGACATTGTCATTCTTGAACCAGTTCTGTACTTAGTTGTCTATCTTTAACAAGACAGCCTCTGGCAACTGCTGAGAGAGCATCGCTGTGCCAAGAAGTCTAAGACTATACCTCAAAATTCCCCTCAAAGCTCACATAACCTAGAGACTCACTTATGCCAACAATGGTGTGAAACAAATCTTCATTTATTAATTTCTTCTAAGCTGCCATGCTTAAGGGTGGATCGAGAGAACAGAAGCTAGCATAAACACGTGCTTTTGACCAATTGGTAAAGTCCTACTTGCAATGTCTGTGCTCTCCAAGCACCCAAGGTGTGTAACTAATAATGGGCTGCTCTGCCCTTGTTAACCCAGCCCCACCCAACCTGAAGAGCTTGTCATCTCTTCAAGGTCAAGGTTGGCTTAGAATAACACGCAACTGTTTATAACACGTAAACCTCAGAATTAAAAGACCTGGGTTTGAATCCAGCTCCTCTACTCTCTTAGGCAAGTTGCCAAGCCTCAGTTTCCTTATCTGTAAAATGGGGATACCATCATCATCTTCACCACCACAATCTTCACCACCATCATCATCTTCTTCATCATCACTTTTTATGGTAATTGTGAGAATTAAATAAGATAATTTGGGTAAAATACTTAGCAAGGTGCCTGACATGCTAAGTTCTAACTACAAGTTAAGAAATTTTGTTCTCGAAGTTAAGAATTCTTTGTAGGTCACAGCCTAGCACAATAACAAAGCATTCGATAGATGCTTTACGTAAATTTCAGTAAACTCGTAAACACACACACACAGGCCAGTCCTGTATCTGTTTGCAGAAGGAGGAACCTCATTGGAAGTGCAGAATTAAAAAGCTGTCACTGAATCCTGAACTTTGGTTTTCAGATCTTGACAATTTCACAAACTCACTTCGCTACTTCACCTTGCTCATGACTTTGGCTCTGGTCTCCCTCACCCATTACCTCTGCTGGGCCCCTGGCTTTTCTGGGCGAATTCTTAGAGCCACCCGTCTGACCACAGTTCCCTCTCCCCACAGCAACGCCCTTGTCTTCTTCACAGATTCTGGCACTTCTTGGACCCAGAACCACACGTCCCTGCTATTGTCCTGAAGCAGCCAAATGTTGTAAAGGAAGGCATGTAGAAATCTAGATATCTGCACCTGCATCTCCATATTCTTGTGCGCCAGGAAAAATTGGAATCAAATTCTCTATTGACACATTGATTCTAAATCATAGATCTGGGAGAAAAGGAGTGAGGAGGACACCCTCGGGGCTGGTCTAGGGCGCTTTGTATCTGTGCAAAACCCAATTCAGTTCAATATTTTATCCTCCTACAGTTAACACTTGTCAGAATCAATTAATACCAATAAATAGACCAGTTCTTCCTATCTCTGCCAAGATTCCTCTTCTCCCCGCATCAGAAAATGAAACACAAAAATAAAAACAGATCAATAAACGAACTTCTCAAGTTGCTGAAAATTCACCATAGGAGCCAAGCCTGTTTCTGAAAGTTTCAACTCACCCAATCAGACAACAGGCTGAGGGAGGGGTGGGGGGCATTTATCAAGTTACGGGGAGGGCTGCATCTGTTACCTTAGACCTCTGTTACCAAGAGACACAAGAGGAGACGCTCAAGGCAGTTTGAGGGTTTTATTTTACAGATTCTTAGTCCAAAGATTTCAAGTTAGAGAGAAGAAGCCGCTGAAAACGAGCGAAGCCAGTAAGCGTGGTGAAGAAGCCCCCATCCTGGCATTCTACTGACATTTAACCTGGTGGGAACCACCGTCCACGGCGAAGTTGGCCTTTCATCTGGGATCCGTCCGCTCAGCTTCAGGAATAAATGCAGTCAAAGGGGCAGTCGCTTCCCGTCACTCACAAAGGTCTTGTTTTTGAACCTCACCCTCTCAAAAGCCGTTTCTCATCATGCCAAACCAACAGAAAAAAGTGATTTTTTGCATGGCCGGGGTGTTAAGCTTCGTTTGTGCCCTGGGAGTTGTGACGGCTCTGGGGACACCATTGTGGATCAAAGCCACCTTCCTCTGCAAAACAGGGGCTCTGCTCGTCAACGCCTCGGGGCAGGAGCTGGACAAGTTCATGGGCGAGATGCAGTATGGGCTTTTCCACGGAGCGGGCGTGAGGCAGTGTGGGCTAGGAGCGAGGCCCTTTCAGTTCTCATGTAAGTAACAATTGCATTTGAATTATTTAATCCTTCAGGCAACCCTCTTCCAAGTGTCGTGAGGAATTATTTTTAAGAGCCTTGCACTGTCTATTGCAGGATTGTTTAAACAGGTGTGAACCATTTGAAATACCTAGGACTCTTCTGAGTAATTTCTTCTTTCTAGTTTTTTTAATTTTGTTTTTATTTTATTAATTATTTCATCCTCGCCATTTTTATTATGACAACATATAGTTAACGAGTTACTATGGAATTAAACTTTTTGAAAAGACAAGCAATAAAAGTTCTTCTTAAATATTAATATTTACGTAAGAAATTATGGGGTCTTTTTAAAAAGGGGGGCTTGGAGAAACAGAAGAGCTGTAAGAGAGGATCTTTGTCTTGTTCTTTAAAAAGGACCAGTGTCACGCGCTCCTTCACCAGTTCTGGCTGCTTTTCCTCCGTGCCCATGACCTGCTTCCCTGTCTGCCCCCCATCATCCCTGCTAGGACCTTTGCTGCTGATAAATATTCTTTGTTTTTATTTTTTTTTAACCAATTTGGAATCACTTGTCTATAGAAATTTAAAAGGATCTGCTGTGCTGACTGGGAAAGAAATAGACGCCCATTTAGGATAGAAAATTTGAACCTGATTGGCCTTGAAATCATGTAGAGAATGAATATGAGACAGATTTTTCTGTCATGATTTTTGTGAAATGGAAGTGTTATCCTCAGTATTTATAACCTGTTTATCTTAAGAAGAGAATTTTTAAAAAATTACCATGTGAATAGGCAACTCATTAAATGAAAATTAATAAGAAGTCATTTGTTATATCTCTCACAACACACATTCAGAAATTATTACTATTTCAAAAGGGCTGGTTTGGAACAATCTTATGAAGACACAGCCAGTAAATTACTGCATAAATCACTCTTCAGGAAAGAAGGTTACCAATTGAGGCATTTAAAATGAATTATTATTTTCCCTGGGTGTTTTTTTTCTCTAGCATTGGTAGAAGGCTAAATTAATTGAATTTATTATTAACATATGCAGTGTCTAATTAAATTTCAGCACTAGTCTATTTATATTTCTGCAAGATTCCTTATATCTTCTTAGCAGACATTGGACACCAACCTTCAACTCACAGAGGTTATTAAGTGATATGAATTTTCACAGGGCTCCAGAAAACTCCCCAGAATTCGTCTTCAGCTTTCAAGAAATTATCATCCACTAGATTTGATGAAGTGGATACCGAGTCTTTTCACTGACTGGTTTTAGTTCATTAAGGTAATGGGGCTGTTAAGAGTTGCTTAGCTTTCCTTGGGGGAAAAAAACAACAAAGCAGAATATCATGTGATTTGCAACTGTATTAAAAAATAAAAAAGGAGAAAAGATGAGTGAAATGATTTAACCATGAGTCATTGGCAGCTAAAGCATGAGTAAAGCTTCTCACAAATGAATTTAAACAAAAGCGGGGAATGTACAGTGAATTTTCTGGAGCCTTTGTATTTTCTGCAGGGAAATGGTGATTAACTTTACTCATCCCATAGGATGTGTTTCAAAACAATCATGCGTCTTCTGAAGACTTACTGGACACTGAGCGCTGTGCGTACTTTGTCTCGTTTGGTCCTCGCACGGCCGCATTCCACTGCGGTGCAGTGAATGGTTTCCACGGCTGGGTCTCAGGCTGGCCTGTCTCTGATGGAGTTGTTCTAATCAGGTGTCCTGCCCTTTGCTTTCTGTGAGGACTCAGAACCGGTGGGGTTAGACAACACCCTCACCCGTCTCACAGAATTGCATCAGTCCCCGCGGTACTCTGACATTTCCCCCAGCCGAGCAAAGGAAATCTGACGTTGGCTCGTTTGTTCTCTGGTGGTCAGAACCCTCTCTATACGTTATCCTCAACGTGTGAATGCCTCACCCATTTCTATGAGGCCCAGTGAACAGACTTACAGCTTAACTTTCTTCTGCCTAAGCATCAAAGCATCTGCTAATGGAGCGTGGGAGAAAGATGGGAAAACTGTGGAAAAAATAGATCCAATGGATTCCCTAAAAAGCATCATGTCACTTAAATAAAGACCCCTCTCCGTGTTAAAAACTTTCTAACGAATGTGCTTTAGGACACTTGTTTCCTCTAAGGTGACACCCCGATTGCCATAGAGCTTGGTGGTCCTCATATCCCCGTGCAGAACGCCCTCCGCCTGTCAGCGATGTTCCATCCACACATCCTCGAGGGAGGAGAGTCCTCTGACCTCCTTCCTGTGGGAAAGTATAGCCCTGTTCCTATGAAAAAGTAAGAGGCTCAGCCCTGTCTTCTCAATAAAGGCCTCCTTCAAGCAAAATCCAGAGCCTCCGAGGAGCTCGGGGTGGACGACACTTTTCTGCTTCTTCCAGAGCCAACTTTATGATTAGAGCACAACTCGTTTCCCAGAACTTCCCCCTTTCTCACTATCCCTTCAGAAAGTTAGGAAGAAAACATTGGGATTTGCAGAAACTTCCCAGTGCAGGAGGAATGGAAAAGGCAGCACATCGAAGGGTCAGTCACCTCGTGGCCAATTTTCTTCATGTAGTCGTGTCACCATCAGTTAATAGGAATTTCTATTTCAATTCTGTTGGCTTGCTAAATGCTACCTTGCTTACCAAGCTTTTCATTTAGATCAGCGTTGGCCAAGAGATATATAATGCAAACCACAGATGCAAGCCACATATGTAATTTTAAATGTTCTAGTGGTCATATCAGAAAAAAATCAAAAAGGAGACAGGTGAAATCAATCTTAATGACACATTTTCTTTAACGCAAGACATCCAGAATACTGTCATTTTAAGATGTAGTCATTAATAAAAAATCATTGAGATACTTTACCTTCTATTTTTCTGTGCTAAGTCTCTGAAATCTAGTGTGTGTTTTATACTTACAGCACACCTCCTTCCAGACTAGCCACATTTCAAGTGCTCACCAGCCATTTCAATGCAGCTAATAGCTGTCATACTGGACAGCGCAAATTTAGATGGAGATTTACTCAGGATAAATTGGGCGTTGATGGTGTCCATATTCTAAATGAATTTTTGCTTGGTTCTGCTGTACAAGTTTACATGTGTTATTTTTATGTGCAACGTATGTGTCACTTTTAAAACCCAGATATATGGTACAACATGAGGATGAAGAATGGACCAGAAAAGTAGTTAGGCAACATTGTCATGTTCGTTCCTATTAAAAGTTCCCTATTGCCCACTCTATCACTTTTAATTATAACAAGAGCCCTCCCTGCCAGGATGCACAGTTATGCTGGGGAAGCTTCTGCTTCGTTTACTCTGGCTGCTTTTCATCCGTTTATGGGTCAGTGGTTCCTTTTCTAGAGGTCACGAGCATTTGTACCTAGCACACAATTGCGTTCGTTATAATGAAGGACTATTTTCCTTTCAAGGCAGCACAACTGGTGGGCTTAATTTTTCCTGATATGTCACCTGTAGAATTTTAATGATGATGTTTAAACTCTTAATGTAGCCATCAACACAAAAACTGCCAGTTTCGAGCTCGGTGTGTGTGGGTGTGCTTCTGTTTTGGAAGTTTGAAACACTGCAGAGCAGCATCAAAATATGATCCCCAAGAATCATATGGTATCAATCATTCCTAGATATGCTGATCTATTCGTTGCCAAGACAGTTCAATGAGCTGGTACAAACATATGGAATATTTTTTTTTGAAATGTGAAAATAAAATTTAACCGATCGTGTATCACAGCTTGCGACTTTAGACATACTTTTAAAGGCATTTTAATTTGGACCTTATGATTGAAAACTTGTAAAAAGCTTCACAGAGATTTAGCTTACTTCATATTTTAGAAAAGCAGAGTTTCTTTACCAAATGAGGCATATGACCTAGATTGCAGAGAGGATGTTGGAACTACTTCTGTGAGCAAGCAGGTGGCTTCTCGAACATATTTTGCAGTAGAATAGTTGGGACTCAGGGCTCTGACCATTGCTGAGCATTGGCGCTCTATCTCCAGGGTCTCCTGCAAGTGCGACTCCTGCCTCCTGCTGACCCCACCTGCCCCAGGTGACCTACTGCTTACCATCCTGCACACCCTGCATCTCTCCTGTCGCCCTGCCTACCCATGGCAGAGCTGTAGGGTCTTTGATGAACCTCCTCCTCATAACACTGCCTGTCTCCCCCTCCCTTGGTTCACGGTCCAGTGGCGGGAGGGGGACGGAAGCCATTTGCACTATTGCACCCAGCATGCATGGGCCCCTCTGCCTTTTAGCTCAAGGCCCTATTGTCTAGTCTCATTCACCCATGAAAACAGTCCAGCAAATAGAGATTTTGTTTTCCTCCCATTGAAAAAAAGTGATTAGTGGGATAGAAGATAGTCATGTCTAAGAAGCACTAGTGTGGAGGGAAAACCTTCGACTTCTTTCAGCCAAATAATTGTTTCCTTCTTTGTCCTTCCTAGACCTTGATGTTCACTCTATCGTTTCAAATCACCTTATATTATAAGTATTTGAGAATGTGCACTTCTCTGCAAGGAGATCCTGAGCCCCAAGAAGGTAGGGGCTGCGTATCATTCACCCTAGCACTCCCTCAAACCAGGGCCCAGCACAGTGCATGTCACAAAGAGGTGCTTAACAGGTGTTTGTAAACTGATGCTCTTGAGATGATGCAACCTGGGTTGAGGCAGGTGTTGGCCACTCACTGGGGATTAGACCTTGAGCAAATAATGTCACCAAGTTGGTTTCCAGTTCTTTTATCTGTAAAATGGGAGGTAAACCTGGGTGATCTCTGACATCTCTTCCAGTTCAAACACTCTGTGAACTACACAGTGAGGGGCTGGCTCTTCTAGACAAGGTCCTTCCAGCTGTAAAATTGCATGGCTTCAGTAACCTCATTGCTTATAGACTCCTCTGACAGATTTTGGCTGCTGTCATTAGAAGTATTTATCAGGACCCAAACAAATTTTGTTATCAAAGTGAATGCTTCTTTTCTTCCTTGTTGTATCATTTTATTTTTTGTGTAGAAAATTGCA